TGCTACAACCCCCTGCATACAGCCCCCCACATACAGCCCCCTGCATACAGCCCCCCACATACAGCCCCCTGCATACAACCCCCCACATACAGCCCCCCACATACAGCAGCTTATTCATCTGCCCAAAAAACAAAAAGTTCAGTCATGTCCACTGCTTGTGGTTTGAACATGGGGAAAGTGTGTTTTCAATGAGACTTGACTGATATCAGTGATTTTTACACTCTGTTGGAAACAGTTCACAGCAGAATATGAAGGTCTCATAGATATGACCGTTTCGTTAAAATAATTTAGTGTTCTTGTATTAAAATTAAATATTCTTTAATAGATAAATTGATAGCAATAAAAGGTTTGTATGTTAAAATTTCTGGGACCATTTGAATGTTTATATTAATGTGTTGGTTTGGTCTTAAATGTCAGTCATAATGGTCTTAAAACGTCTTGAAAAGGTCTTAAATTTAACTTCCTGAAACCTGCATGAACCCTGCATAGAAAAATCTAAAATCCAATTTAGTCAGTGCAACAAAAGTAGAAAAATATAAAAGAACAAAGTGAACTAGTTTAGAGTCCTGTGTTTTTAAAGGTGAAGATCCAAAATAAACAGCCTCCTTGACAACGAGGTCGCCTTAAAATGTGAACATTATCATTTTCAAGTTATGATGCTGCACACTGTTAGCATCATCGCTACTTGCAAATCTTTAACAATACAGATCAGCTAGTTTCAAGTTAAAATATTACACAATACAAAAATATTTAATAATTAAAAATGATCTGTACTGAATACTCCGATCAAATGCTTTGTGCCAACCTATGAACTGAGTTTGTCTTCCTTCTTCTTCTCGATCAAGCTGGAAATGGTTGTATTTACTGTAATATTCTCCTCTTTTCTTCCTCCATCAGGTGAAAAAGCTGCAGTCGATTCTGAAGCCCATGATGCTGAGGAGACTGAAAGATGATGTCGAGAAAAATCTGGCTCCTAAAGAGGAGACCATCATAGAGGTAAATCATGTGAGGTTAAATTAAAACGTAAAGATCTCTGGTTTGGAGACAAACAAGAAGAAAATTTGTGTTTTTGTTTGTTCAGGTGGAGCTGACCAACATCCAGAAGAAATACTATCGAGCCATCTTAGAGAAGAACTTCTCCTTCCTGTCCAAAGGAGCGAACCAACACAACATGCCCAACCTCATTAACACCATGATGGAGCTCCGCAAGTGCTGTAACCACCCCTACCTGATCACAGGTTGGGCTTTTAATGTTTCATCAGCTCTACAGTCAGCTGGAAGTGTTTTCTTTCTGAGAAAATCAAATCAAATCTTTGTTTGTTTGTTCAGGAGCCGAGGAGAAGATCCTGGAAAGCTTCAAGAAGAGCCACAGTCCGGAGGCAGCAGACTTCCAGCTGCAGGCCATGATCCAGGCAGCTGGGAAGCTGGTTCTGATCGACAAGCTGCTGCCCAAACTGCTGGCCGGGGGGCACAAGGTCCTGGTCTTCTCCCAGATGGTCCGCTGCCTGGACATCCTGGAGGACTACCTCATCCAGAGACGGTGAGTAGCTTCAGTCAGGAAAAAACCATCTGATGTTAGAGGTGAAGGCTTGTTCAAACCTTTAACCTCTTGATCCAAACAGCATCTCCTGTTTTCTGTTTTAACTTCTGTTAACTTCAGATCTGTAGGTTGAACCTGGACATGTTTGAAATCAATATAAAACTAAGAATCTTGGCTAAAGGCAATATTTACATCCACCAAACACAGTTCAAATGACAGGAAGTTGAATCAGAAAGTAAACAATCTGCACAAAATGGGATTGTTGCAAATCTGTAAATACATTACAACTAATCTGTAAATACATTACAACTAATCTGTAAATACATTACAACTAATCTGTAAAAACATTACAACAAACCTGTAAATACATTACAACAAACTTGTAAATATGTTACAACTAGTCTGTAAATACTTTACAACTAATCTGAAAATACATTACAACTAATCTGTAAATATGTTACAACTAATCTGTAAATACTTTACAACTAATCTGTAAATACTTTACAACTAATCTGTAAAAACATTACAACAAACCTGTAAAAACATTACAACTAATCTGTAAATACATTACAACTAATCTGTAAATACATTACAACTAATCTGTAAATACATTACAACTAATCTGTAAATACGTTACAACTAATCTGTAAATACATTACAACTAATCTGTAAATACATTACA